ACTCACCTTACAAATTCGCCAGACGAGATGTCACAATTTAGAATATGCGTGCATTGCAAAAAATTAAAGCGCAAACGGCAACAGTTTTGCGAATTATATGCACAGTTTAATGACGCAACAGGGAGGACGGGTCAAAAGTTCACGTGCTCCGAATGATCGGTGTACCCAGTTCGTTAGCGCTGCCAACCCGACGTTCCTGTCATTTTCTGAAAATAACCCGAAGAACGATACCTATGAACTTTGTTCGCAGAGGAAAAGGCCTCTTCAACCTAGAATCTCTTCGGAAAACTTCGTCGAACATAACCACATAAATTTATATAACGATGAAATATGCACATACGCACATATATGCTGAAATGCATCGTATCGTAACTGAACACCTGGAGAAAGCAAAAGATACAAAGTTATAGAAAGTAAAAAATATGATAATGTTGCGCAAAAGACTGTGCTCATTAAATGTATGCGTCTGTACTTTTGCACAACTCGACACATTTGCGCGAAAATCTCATTTTATTTTCTTCTATAAAGCATTCCACGGTACGTAGTTTTTTGCAGATACCCTGTATATCGACCGACAGATTTTCATCCCTTTGTGAGCAGTAAGGGCTGAGTTTAGAAATATCAGATCAAGCATTCCGTAAATATTATATATTATCTATAATTATCAGATGTTACTTAGAATTATATGATTGTATCATAAACGAAGTAAATAAACCCGATTAATCGACTCCTCGTGGCCTGATTTAAATACTGCATACGGCACCTGACCAGACATAAGTACACGGTGTATTATACTAGCCTGCAAAAACTTGCGGATCTAATAAAATTAGGTGATTTTTATTAATTTTTGCCCGCTGAACACAAATCCATTTTCCAAATTTGGCTATCATGTCACAATTTCGAGATAATTGGCGTCAAAAAGGCCAAAAACGACGATTTTGAAAGTTTTCATGGTGTCGTAGCATCTACAAGAAATTGTTTTTCTAAATTTTGTTAACGTAAAAATATTAACTTTTAGTTTTAAAATGCAGTTTGTTCTGTTTCGCAACGATCTTTTGTTTCCTATATATAGTTGAAAGAAAAAATATTAGTTGTGCGCGCGTGTATTATCAATATGATTCAGTATGTCTCTCCAATAAGTGCGAACAGTCATTTTAGACGCATTCTTGAGTACTGAACATGAATCCGTTAATAGAATTTGGCTACCATATAATTCAGAAAAATAGTATCATACTATTATAATAATGTTTGTCCTGTTTGATACCATTTTTTTTTTATTGTGATGTGATAAATAAGTTTTATTGACGGATTCATATTCAGCAATCAAAAATATATCTGAAATGACTATTCGCACTCATTGGAGAGACATCGTACCGAACAATCATATTGATGATACGCGCGTATAACTAATATTTTTTTCTTTCAACTATACCTAAAAAATTAAAAACGAAACCATTGCGAAACGGAACTAGATGCATTTTAAAGCTAAAAATGTATGCTTTCACGTAGCGTTAACGAAGTTTAGAAAAACAATTTGTTGCAGAAACTGTGACACAATGAAAACCTTTAAAATCGTTGTTTTTAGCCACTTTGACGCAATTTTTCCCAAAATTGTGACATGATAAGCAAACTTGGAAATGGATTCGTGTTCAGCAAACAAAAATTAATAATAATCACGTAATCTCATTAAATCCACTAAAGAAAATACCGATTTTCCCAGACTAGCATTATTAATGTGCGTGACCAGCTCACGCACGCGTTCTCTTGGGAAAAAGTTATGTTACGGTATTTGCGGATTATGCATATGATTTCATATGTATATTCCGAAAACATACATACATTCTTCGAAAGTAATACACGTCAGAAGGATGCTTATCCCGTTGAATCGAATTATCTCGCGGAGTACGCAGAAATGTCGACTAGATATCTCATCCCCGATTTGCATCGCTTGATTACCGGCACATCATTCCGACTGTAATCCGAGATGCAATACGATCTTGTAAAACCACTAATACGATTATACGCTATGAGATCGTTCATCGTGGATTTATCGGTCTTTTAAACCAGATAATCCCTGAAAGACTTATTCGTAGACAGGTCACAACATATGAATCCGCCATATGGATCCATGAATGGACCACTCGTCAATAATAAAAAATATAGTTGACGTTCAATCGCGTTCGTATTAATACGAACTGGTTTGGAAGAACGAATCGATCAGTCGCCATATGCTACGCTCGAGGAGAAAAAAATTATACGAACGATAAATGTGACTTTTGTATTGTAGGGTAAACGCAAGAGTAAGCGCGTTTTGTCGGCATGATGTTGCGAATTAAAATCGATCTGGAAATACAGATAATGGAAGCGCGAGGTTGCGGTCGTGCGCGGTTATTCTTGCCGCGGGCCCTCGATAAAATGCGACCGGCAAGGAATAAATATTCGTTCATAATTCATATGGTGTGCGTACATTTTCCCGGTACTGGCTCGTTATAAGCACGAACTTTATTCCCTGTGCTTTCAATCGTTCTTTCATCACTAACCTACTTTCTGTATTTCCTGCAGTTACACGGCGATTCGTATTACACAATCTCGGTAACGAGCGACTCGTGTTTTCATTCGATCGCTTCGGGCGCAGGGGACCCATCTTTCAGATTTCTGCTAAGATTATCCGAAATTCTCTCATTTCTGTCAAAAGACAAATTAGCATCATATTATAGTCGAAGAAACTTTCAACTTTTAAGTACAAGAGGTTTAGTAATTGTAATTTCCACCGAGAAATACTTCGAGCTACACGTGCGAGCAACTGTGTTTACTTTGCAATAAAATAAACGGGCCTCGGGGTTGCTTATCCTGTTTATTTCCGCATTCATCGCGCGCGCATTTACCGGTTGCACGATAGAGAACATTCATAATTCGTTGAATATCCGCGAGGCTTCTTTCCGCGATCTTTGCCGACTGTTACTTTATTTTCTCACTTCAGTAAAAGTGCAATAATTCTATAAAAAATAAAATTTTGCTATTAAATGGCATGAACGAACACGTTTTAGGTTTGAGAAATTTTAACTTAATATCCATAAATAAAGATCCGCTCTCATAATACTAATCATAATGTTGATCGAAATCGAAACAAACAAATCTTCGACGTTAAAATAAACAGCAGCCATATCTTCTTCTCTCGTCATTTCTAGAAGAAAAAGAAAGGGAGAAAGTGTCATACGTGTATGGATCTATTCTTTATATTTGCCATTTTTTTTTTAACCGCAAAGAATTCACTAACTCACCCTTCCAAAGAATAAGTTACTCACTTATTCGAACAGAAAGCAATGGTGCGATCGCGAGTGACCGAGTACGCGCGAAAACGCGTTCCTGTCGAGGGACGGAAAAGCGCTTCTCGGACGAGTTTCTCGCATATTCCTCTCTCCTACGTTTTCCGTAGCCTTCTCCTTGCGTGACCGCAATCGGTCTGTCAACGAGATATTACGGGGTGGAGGCATTAATCGTAAACAACCCTTCGTCGAAGAGTCCTTCACGCGTCGACGACGCCACTCGATGGGAGTGGAAGGACGAACGATCGGGGGAAAAAGGCAAATAAACGCTCGTTCATGGCAGAGACCATAATCGTGGTAGATGTGTGCTTGTGAGAAATCTTGTTCTAATGAATTCGTTACATTTGACCGAACGTCAAATCGAATACAATCGAAGCAGCAACAAAATAGTACGCGCGCGCATACTCATCGGATGATCCTGCGTTATTGCAATTTACAAAAAAAAAGAGGTAAAACAATGGTAAAGGATATTAACTCGATGGAAGCTGGTAAATTACAGATTTACCAGAAGAAAAGTCACGATTGATGTTTCATGATTAAAGCAACAATCGTCAAAAGGAAGCAGCGACTATCCAGTCGAGGTTTTCGGCGAGCGTTCGGTAAGCATGCGTTTAAGCGTCGAGTAAATTGCGTGGAAAAGTATTTTAAACCTAACATGAGTGATATCGCGTAGCTTACTGGAAGTTGGAGTTATGGTCCACTTGGAACGTTCGGAAGAAGCGGACGCAAATCTTCGTGAAGCTTTCTACAAGCAGTCAATATATATGCACAAAGGAAAAAATTGTCGGCGGCCGAGTCACCACCCACAATCCAATACCGAACCGCGCTTGATATTGCTTAACCTCGACGATCGGGTGGCAAGCAAGCAGAATCTAATGGCTATCCTGACGATATCCTTGTAACTTGTATGATTCTTTTGGTATTCTAGAATTAAAAGTTCGCAAAGCGAACGATTGCATATCAAAATAGCGTGAGGGAAATTTTCAGTCGATGAACACACTGCAAAGCAGCGAGCAAACGTCCAGAAATCAATCTCCCAAATCGATTTGATGATTCAGAGGACTATGATCCAGCTTCTTCCTAGCTCACTGGAAACTTCCCTGAACACTTTCAACCGGATGGTGTACGCATTACGGTGGCAAGAGGTAGGAATGAAAAATCTACTTCATCAGCAGCAATTCTTTGTCTTATCACCGACGGACGCTCGCCTTTATCACCCTCGACGCGTTCATTTCTTTCCGTCAGGATCCTGCCATTCGTTAGGAATTTGTCGCGAGCGGCTGCTTCGGCTGGAACAACTGTCGTCGCACGGTCAATAATTTTGCTGGTGTTGTAACTATATCGTCGCAGTAATTAACGTGGCCCGATATGTATTTCCACGAATATTATCGAGAGAATATTACACACTGGTGGCCACACACACGCGCGCTCGCACCAACACACGAAGTCATTGTGCAATTTGGCTTTCGGAGCTGATGAGAGAGAGAGAGAGAGAGAGAAGATCCCAGAGGAGTCCCGGGCATTCGATAAAGGCCACCCCACCGTTCGAGATAGATCGAACCTCCTGTCAGCTATCTTGAATCTCGAGCGAGAGCACGGCAAGCGGACAGAGTGCACTCGCACCGCTTATATCACCTGCGACGAATGTTTCTGGCAAACGTTCAAGGGACTCACCGAGAGAGAGTAGACAGACGTCGTCGCTCCGTCGCCTCGATGGTGTTCGCCGCGCACCGTCCTTTATTCTGTTCCGTTTTGTTTCCCCTATCGTACAGCGGAATTCCCTTCGCGAAACGAGCACCACTCGCGCGCGCGATTTACATCGGTGCGTGAACAACGAAATACGCGCGAACAGACTGGCGCGCGCTTTTACGTTCGCGTCGCGATTATTACATGTGCACACGCGTGTATGTATGTATATACATATATATATGCATACGTACGACGCGCACGTTATGTGCGTAATATGTGAAACGATGGCAGCGCACGGCTAACGAAAACGTTCGGTCCGCGAGCTTACGCGGCGACCTTCGGACTGACTATGGGGTAGATTCGGGCGCCGCGTCGTGCCGCTACACCGCTGCCACCCCTTGAGCGTAGGTGTTACTAGCCACCGTCGCCGCTACCACCGCCGTTGCGACCGTCCTCAGCCCAATTGTTATTGTTCCGCAAAACGATCGGCTCGTTTTCAAGCTTCACCAGGTGTGCGCAAACCGTCTCGCGAGTCCGCGTGAGCGATCTCACATTTAAGCCAGAAGCCATTTATAGCGCTTATGTACGCAGCGAAATTCCGAGGCTGTGCGGCCGGTAAAACTCGTGCGTCAATTCGCGCTCTCGAAACTTTCGCGCTATACTACAACAGGTTTATTCTTGTGAATTTCCCGCAATATCGGATCTCCGCGGGTTTGCGGGGTTTGCGCACGCGCAACGTTTCAATTACACAGCGAAAACGCGGAAACGATATACGTCACTGAATCCACACGTGAACTCTGTCCGCTCGTACACGATTTGTTTCAGTCAAGCGCTTTGTTCAGTCGCGGAATTCCGTTATCGGAGAACAGCAACATGGAAACGTCTCGTGGAAACGTCGACGGCCACTTCTCGACTGATTACAAAATAGATTTTAGCAGAACTATTGCTATAGGTGCGAGAGATGTGCCCTACTAATCTGAAATGAGTTACGATTTGAAATTTTATAGTCAATGCAAGAGAAGTTGCATCATTTTCTTCTCAATGAACTTCAGAATACAAATCCCAATAAACATCAATTAATAATAATATTACATCATAATTCCTCACTCAACAAATGCAAATGCAATATAACATGCGTTATATATAACAGTCACATTGTTAAATGAGAAATTATAACATTGTTGTAATGTTACTGTTAATTGGTGTTTACTAGGTGTGGTTAGTCACAAAAAAGTTGCGACACTTTTATTCGATGAATTTTGCAACGCATTTCATATCTAGGAAAATGTATCTCCTGAAAATTACAAAAAAAAAAACAAATTCTCCTAATGGACGTGGAATGCATTTAGAAATTTATCAAGAAAATCTTTTTGTAACTGATCATATAGTATCCAATAAAAAAATTCAATTTTCAAGAATTATTAAGAAATTCTTTTATTATAGATACGGATATGATGCGATGCTTACCACGCTAATACAGCACACTGTGCTGTATGATTCATATTAAATCGACATCTCAGATACGTTGCATTGCGATATTGTCATTGCGTTGTATCGATGTTGCGAAATGTAGGTTCAATATTGAAAATATTATACAAATACATCTAATGTCCGTTGAATTACAATGTATTGCGGATATTTCTTAGAGAAATTTAATGCTGAAAATTATTAAGGAATTTACAATGATTAAATATCGGCAATACTTCAGTAATTATTCGGCCAATATTTAATCATTAGTTAATATATTTCAAGTTATATACGTAAAAAGATTGTATGTATTTTTCATTGATATTAATAATAAAACAAAAGTAATTAACCCTTATCGGTCGTGAGTCACCTCTCACGTGACAACAATACTTCGTCGCTGCAGTGGTACGTCACGTAGGAGGTCACAAGTTCGCATATTTACCGAAACCAGCTACAACCTAGTGAGAATCACGCATAAAAAGCTAGCGTCCGATAAGGGTTAAAAAAAAGGAAAAAGGAAAAAAAATACAGATTCAAGGCAGTATTGAACCTAGGACATCTACAGGGTCTGCCACCAAAATCCAGATAAAATGAACAATTTGTTTAAACAAAATTCTATTCGTCAAAATGTAAAAATTACAAAAAAACTTTTTGTACATCACTAGTGGTATCCTTTTAAAATAAAATTATTCTATGTAACCCCCTTTTGCTTCGATGACTGTTTCGATCTTCGTCCTGAAGCGCTGGCACGCTCTCTGCAATGTGTCCTTGTTCGTATTGGCGAATGCCGCCTCAATAGCGGCCCGGAGAAATGTCACGTTGGGATGTCTCGACTTGTTGGTCATTTATTCAATGACGCTCCGCACGTAGTAGTCCAACGGATTCAAATCTTGACTGTTCGTCGGCCAGAATTCCTTGGATCAAAACTTGTTCAAATTATCCAACAGCCAATTTTGAACTAAGTGAGTTGTGTGCGCCGGCGCACCGCCCTGCTGGAAGACGTACGACTTTCCGGTGACCACAATAATTTACCCACGGCTTCACTACCCTCGTCAAAACGCGTAAATAAACCTCTTTTGTTTTTTTCTTTTGAAAGAAATGTGGCGGCATGACGTGACCCTCACTGGAGACGACGTCTAGGATGTGCACAGAGGCCGAAAACTTCATCCTAGCTATTATATTTAGTCGCAACATCATATACGGTCGATTTCGGATACCCGAAGAACCGAATATTTTCGGTCTGCGAACGCCCAACACAAAGGCCTTCGATTATCACCGCTCTTCGGTTATACTCTGCACTCAATCTCATCTGCTCGGACATTTTGAGGTTATACACACTTACTATAAACATCTGACTTGCCCGAACGTCAACAATGACCTACCGTCGAAGTCAAATAAGGCGGGAAATTTAAATTTAAATTTGCCCGGATTTTGACGGCGAACCCTGTAGTCAGGCATCTTAGATATTCTGCTATCGGGACATTGATATATGTTCACTGTCTACCGTATATCAACTTTTTTCTCAACATTTAATTATTGCAAATTCAGTATTTCTCAATATTAAATTTCTGCAAGGGTACATTTCACCACTACTGCGCTATTAAGCAATAGTATTTAAATATTCATATTAACAATAAGGTAGTATTTAATCATTGCAACCCTAAGCACTGAAACATTAGGATCATTACGAGCTCTGTAATTTAATCATTACGAATTATTTAATAGTGTTTTAAATATTCAAAATAAGTAATTAATCCACTAGCTTAACAGTAATAAATTCCTGTAAGGAATTACAATTCAATACTCAAAACACATTATCAATAAAAGAGAGATAATCTGATTGTCTGCCAGTAACCGCGAAAGCAGTTTCATACTTCGTACGTTTTTTTCGTATCCTTGCAGTTATGAAGATATCCTTGTAATTATATAACATATACTTAAATTACTCTCTGTACGTATTTCTTACATTGTGTTGTTGTTACATTGTATTATCTTACATTGTGACAAGGGTGTTCTTGTGTTGATATGATGTGCCCCAGAATAATCGATGCGGAATTCCTTGGAAAATTTTTCATACCAAAAGGAAGCAATTTATCGTATATCGAAATTTTGTTCAAATAGTAGTTTTTAATTAAATGATATTTTTTTAAATGAGAGCTATTTAAGATTGTGAAATTAGCATCCTTGGTTATGCTTGAGTTAGAGGCGGAATCACGAAATACCATGGAAATCATGTACGAAGGTCATTGAAATGGCGCCATTAATATCAAACTGATATAATAGTTGAAGTCTACACTATTCGGCAAACTTCAATGTACAAAATTTCAGACAAATTTGTCAATTGGTTTTGTTGTGATAGCTATCCAAAGTGAACTACTGTTGCTTTCTTTTAAAAATAGACAAAATCGAGATTCAAATAGTCATTAAATATTTCTTCTTAAAAGGCTTAAAACCTACAGAAACCATGGAAGACATTAATAATAATTTGTCCACACTTTCAAATACAGCAGTATATAAGTGAATAACTGAATTTAAACGTGGTCATACAACCACAAGTGATAAACAACGTTTAGGTCGTCTAAAAACGGTGACAAATCCAAAACTAATTAAAATCCATGATATCGTGTAAAGATATCGTAAAGATTACAGAGTGAAAATGCATGAGATTATTGAGATTGTAGGCATCGAACGGGTTTATAATTTATTATATGAAAATTTGAGTATGGAAAAGCAATCCGCAAGATAGGTTCTACGTTTGCGTCACTTAATTGGTCAAAAACGAAATCAAATAACAATTTTAAAGTGTTGTTTGGAAAGATTCAAGCGTTATTCAAAGGATTTTTTAGTTTTGTAACCTTTGATGAAACATGGATCCACCATTATAATCAGAGACAAAAAAATATTTAAAGGATAGTTAATAGATTTTTCCTGATGAACGTGCGCCGAAGAAGGCAAAAACAGTTCTATCAGCTGGAAAGGTCATACGTAGGTAGTTATTTATATTTCTGGCCTTGGTAGCAGTAAGTGTTGTCAGGCGCCATCTGACGTTGCCATTGGAAACTTGACATTGTTGAACATGAGAACATAAGAACACATTGTCATTTGGGCGCGGTTTGTGTTGTTTACAGTGAATTGAAAAATTCATGTCGGGCAAAAAATGGAATTAAATCGTGAACATTTGCGTGCGACTATTTTTTATAACTTTCGACGTGGATTATCAAGACAAGAATGCATCGATGAACTTAATTCTTTATACAGCGAGAAAGCACCATCCTACAGCACTGTAAAAAAACTAGTATAACGAATTCAATCGTGGCGGACGTTCGCTCCAGGACGAATTCCGTGAAGGTCGTCCAAAATCGGTTGTTGTGCCAGAAAATATCGATGCTGTGCGTGATAAAGTAAGATCGTCATGTGACATACCGTGAGATTGAGGCATCTTTGGACATTAGTATGACAAGCATCAATAAGATATTGCATGAACATTTGTCCGTAAAAAAAATTTGTTCGCGTTGGATCCCGCATAATCTGACAAACGCTCAAAAGAAGACTCGTGTTGATTGGTGCAAGGAAATGTTGAAAAAATACGTTCAAGGTGCATCAAAGGTTGTGTATAACATCTACACAGGTGACGAATCATGGATCTATGCATATGAGCCCGAAACAAAACAGCAATCGACTGTATGGGTCTTTCAAGACGAGTCAAATCCAACAAAAGTTGTTCGCGGAAGAAGCACATCGAAGCAAATGGTTGCC